TGTTTGTCGAATTAATGAATGAATGAGTCAAATAACCTTTAAATGAATTAGAGAAATATCACTGCAAAACCTCTTTACCCAAAATATCAGGGAAGCAACGATCTCATGGAAAACAAAAAGTGACTTGAATGAGGAATAGACACAAATGTTCACTGTATAAGGACCTCTGCTTTATATTCTGGGTGTTGCCACAGGAGGGGGGAGGGAGGCACAACAGAAAAAAATAGCTATATGTGCCCAAGGACATCGGGGATGGGCTTATTTCTCAGAGAGAGGAATATGGGATGCCAAGATCCCCAAATCTGCCTAATACACTGGCTTCATGTTTCAACCTTCTCAGAAACATCATGTCTTAAAAGAAGATTTCCAGGAGAGGGACCACAAAAGATAAAGGCGTAAAGCTTTATGAGCGTCGAAAACATTTTACACGGTTAGACTCCAAAACTCTCCATAGAGATGCCCCCTGATAAAGACTCCTTCTTTGACCAAATTTAAGTCAGGATCCTCTAGGTCCTCTTTGACTAAGCTTCAACCCTGGCCCGCCTCTAGCAAGAATTCTGTTAGGCCAGTTTAGCAATAATCCCTCACCCTTGGTATTACCTCTTGGTAATTTTCTGTCCACTGACCCTCTCACTTTCCTATAAATCTCTGGCTGTCCTTGCTGTATTTGGAGTTGAGTTCAGTCTTTCTCCCCTGTTGCAATAGTCTTGACCCCTATTGCAATAGCTTTGAATAAAGGCTTCCTTGTCATTTTTTAAAAAGTGTTGGAATGGGGCGTCCCTGGTGGCGCAGTGGTTGAGAGTCCACCTGCCGATGCAGGGGACACGGGTTCGTGCCCCAGTCCAGGAAGACCCTACATGCTGCGGCGCGGCTGGGCCCGTGAGCCATGGCCGCTGAGCCTGCGCGAGGCCACAACAGTGAGAGGCCCGCGTACTGCAAAAAAAAAAAAAAGTGTTGGAATAATTTATCTCTTATACCCCTCTTTCCACTCACTAGCTATTCTTCCCCCGCTCCAGGCTACGTTCCCTGGTCTCTCTGGGGAAGAAGGAAAAATGTCTGCCACTTCCCGTAGCACCATCTAGAATATAAGATAGAGATCCTCACATCAGTGAATTTTTGTGTTTATTCTTCATTCAAGTCAATTTTGGTTTTCTTTGAGACAATGTTTTTCTTCTCTGGTATTTCTGGTAAAGAGATTTGGCAATGATATTTCTCTAATTCACTTAAAGATTATTTGATTCATTCATTCATTCAACAAAAATATATTGAGGGTCCACCACTTGTTCATCTTTAGACCAGGTACTAGGTAAAGAATCCTTAAAACCCATAGTCATGTCTTTTGTTTTGTTTTCAATTAATTTTTTTTTTTTTTTTTTTTTTTTTTGTGGTACGCAGGCCTCTTACTATTGTGGCCTCTCCCGTTGCGGAGCACAGGCTCCGGATACGCAGGCACAGTGGCCATGGCTCACGGGCCCAGCCGCTCCGCAGCATGTGGGATCTTCCCGGACCGGGGCACGAACCCGTGTTCCCTGCATCAGCAGGCGGACTCTCAACCACTGTGTCACCAGGGAAGCCCTGTTTTCAATTAATTTTTAACTGTTTTCTAAAACATAAAATAATTCATTGGTAAAAATGGAATGCCCTCAAGCACGTACCATCTCACTCCCCTCTCCCAGCTTCTAATCTCCCAGGGAGGTTCTTACAGATTTTTCTCCAAGCCCAATATAAAAACACAGGTTCAAGAGACCCAACCGGACCCAACTTGCCATTTACAATTGATATCTCATGGCTGTTCCATCTTCATTTCCTTCAACAAAAGTTTTAAAATAATTTTGATGTCAAGGGAGTCAACTTTCATATGCAGTGTCTAGAACACTGTACATGATCCACAAATATCTGTTGAATAAATAATCTTCCACACAAACACCTTGGTTAATCCAAGATCACCTGTTGCTCCCATGGAAACTTCTATATGTACTTTGCCACCAACGACAGTTTCTTTATCTGATCTACTATTATATAATATTATACCCTTGTATGTATATTGCCCACGCTATTTGGTTGCTCTTGTCTTATATGTATATATTGTCTCCCAAGTAGAATAAAAACTTCTTGAGTGTTCAACGGTAAAGCTCACATTATTAAAAGACCGCAACATGCCAGTCTTTGGACTAGGTGCTGGGGATACGATAACAGCTAGTATTTATGAGCACTTTCTACCAGACACATACTTCATTAAGCACTTAAAGGAGAATTAACTCTTTTAATCTCCATTACAGCTATGAGGCAGGTACTATGTATTATTAGCAACACTTCACCTATGAAGAAACCGAGGCACAAAGAGGTTAAATAACTTGCCTAAGCCTGTGCAGTAAGAGGTAGAGCCAGGTTTCTAGCCCATACAGTCCAAATCCAGACTCCATGCAGCTTCTGAGATCTCTGTTTTATGGTCTGACTCATTACTCTCAGTTAATTAAATTGACTATATGGGAAGATAAAATTTTTCTACCATTCACTCAATCTTAAGAGAACTGTGTTGGAGAAAATAGGTTGGCAAGTTTGACATCTTTTTAGCTGGTTTGCGTGAAAAGAGGCCTGCTGTTCTGGAAATAACTTCAGCATGACACTGTGTTTTGCCAGCCTTCCAGCTAACTTTAAATCATGTGGGTCACAACTAAAAATGCTCTGTCCTTTTTCTTGTTGGGATTTTGAATTTACAGAGCTTACATAAGTAGGTGTTGTTAAGACAAGGATGAGAGATGATTTGATTCGGGTATATTTGCTCAGGAAGAAAGTGCAATCGAGAATTAGCCCTGAAGGGAAGGACTTCTGATATCAGTTTTTCATTTTTCAGAGAATCCACTGTGCCTCTAAGCAAGTCATTTTACTTCTATCTGTCTGTTTACCCTTTTCTAAAATGTGTGAGATAATCCCTATGCCTCCTGGAAGCAGATAAAGACGCTAGCTTATTTAAGTATCAGAAGAAAACGGGACGAAAAATTCTACGATTACATGTTTTTGTTATACTAAACAACAGCAGATCCATAAAAAGTTTAAGTGCCTTGATGTGCAGGTAGCACACCCACAAAATTAAGCCCCATTATGGCAACATTTTGAAGGAAGGGCTGCTTAACTGCTTATACCCACCCACTCTGGGTCCCAGAAGTTTAACTGAAATAGGCTTTGAGAGTCTATTCTAGAGGAATCAATATAAAATACCATCAGGAGGGGCTTTAACTCTAGACTTCAGGAAGACAAAAGAAATGGTTCAGAATAATGTGAATACACACTCTAAAAGACTAGGACATCATGATACATACATAACAAATGATAAATTCTATGTCCATTAAATTCTGAGATAAATTACCAATTTGTCCTCACTTAGAAACTGATGACAACCCTTAACCAATGAGGTCAAAAGAAAAGTTTCATCCATTAAGTCTTCTTTATTCAGACTCTCCTGGTTTCCTGTGTATGTTTCTCACAATCCGTGCTGAGGTTGGTAGTATCTTTGTATTAATTTTCATTTCTTTTTGCAGATAACTCTCAGTCTCTGCAAATGTTTTGGCATAAAGTTCACTCTAAGTGTTCTTTATCAATTGACAGGTATTTTGACACTTTCCAATAGACTCCTCAAGATGCCTGTAGCCACAATTTGCTAAACCCAGACTGGTGTATCTAACCCACTCTGTTTTACATGCTCTCTACTGTGCTGTGTGATGAACAGACATATTGAGTCACCCAGATGGGGCGAAGCTGAACAAGACAAATGCTTCTTTCAGCACCCTGAAAATCTCACTACCCAACATAGCCCTGAACTTGCAAACAAAAGCAAAACCAAACACCTCTATATCTAATATCGTTATGCTTTAAGTCTTTATTGCCTTAACATCAAGTGCCGAGTGGCATCTTGACTTTCTTTTGGATAATGAAATACAAAACCTATCGTGTATGTGAGAAAGTGATGAAGTAAAGGGGGCAATGGGGAACTAACTTCAGGAAGTGAAAGAGAAAAGGTGTGTGCTGCATGTCATATCTGGTTTTGCATTAGGATGGTGGTGAGATGGCTTTCCTTTGTTCCTTCCTTCTGAGGAAGGTACATATTTTGTATGTGTCTCTAATGCGGGGAGTTAGATATCTTTGTTTACTTCTACCTCAGTCCAGGGGCTCTATCTTTTCACAGTTATCAGGAGTTATTTGGAATATGAGAGTAAGAGAATAATTCTACATTTGAAATTCTGTGGAATAAGAGGGATGGATTAATTAGGAAGAAACTCAAGTGCATTGACAACATAGCTTTCAGCCCAGGCTATACTATATTTCTAAGTATACCAGGTATGCAACCATACTTTGTAAATGAGGAAGGTTATCTAAATGCAAGGTAGCTTTTTGTTGTAAGAAGAGTCTGGGTGCTTGCACACCGTTTGGCACTTAAATATATTGGCAGCAGCCAATTAGGCTCAGAAGCATAAACACAGAGCTAGAATAGGTTTTCTTCCAATCAGTGTGCACTTCAAGCCCCTTTCCCATTTGACTTGGACCATTCTTTCTAATCTACTTTTCAGTGGAGCTGAGATTTGTTTACCAGGCAGGCCCTCCTTGTGATCTTACCTGAGAAGACACACTTAATGAACTGCGTACACGGTGACAAGATTTGTGGGCAGATATTCGGACAATTAGTTCTGTGTTGCTTGTGATGTGGTGAGGACAAGACAGTCCTGGAATCTGGTCCCAGCTCTTTATCACAATTCATCACTGCATTCTTCCCACAGGTGGGAGGCCATCCATGCTGTCTTGGCAAAAGGTGTTTTCTTGATCCCACCTTCTTTTTCTTTCTTTTTTTTTTTTCTTCCTTTTTTGCAGTACGCCGGCCTCTCACTGTTGTGGCCTCTCCCGTTGCAGAGCACAGGCTCCGGACGCACAGGCTCAGCGGCCATGGCTCACGGGCCCAGCCACTCCACGGTATGTGGGATCCTCCTGGACCGGGGCACGAACCTGTGTCCCCTGCATCAGCAGGCGGACTCTCAACCACTGCGCCACCAGGGAAGGCCCCCACCTTCTTTTTCAATATTCCACGGAACAATGAAGGGTCGCTTCAAGTAAATACTTGAATACTTAAGCAAGTGGGGTTGAAACTGGAGTTTTTCAATTTGATATGGCATTAGACATAGGAGGATTCCCTCACCTCTTTTCAGGCAACTGGTGTGTCATGAATGGCTCAAGGCTTCCCATTACTGACTGGAGGTGGAGAAACAGAGCCGTCTTCAGACTTGAATTTAGCTCCTCTGCTTGCCAGCTGTGTGAACATGGACAGGTTACTTAGACTTTTATAACTTCAGTTACCTTATCTACCAAACAGTGATAGTATGCACTTCAGAGGGTAGTATGAGTATGGGCTTTACCTGCAGGTGTTCCTTCAGCAGAGGTTTCTTAAAAGTCCCAGCTTACTTTAAATCATTGTAAAAGTAATCTCTTTGAAGACTTCTAGCAGAGAGATAGCACTGCTTGGTGATCAGCCCTCACTTTGGCCAGCAAGGTGCCAGACACCAATACATAAAATGAAAAGATCCAAGAAAGAAGAGTGGATCTTATGCCCCAGAGAGACTGCAATGGTACAGGCTTGGAAAATGGCAGATGTACTGTGGCCCCCAGAAGCCCATGCCAATGATTCAGGTGTACGTGTGCACTTCACACTCTCCACCAAACATCCCCCAATGTCTGTGGCTCCAAGCCTATAACCCAGGGCCTGTACTCACCCATCTGGATTTCACCTGAGGTATGAGGATTTTATGAGTGCTATGGTCTGAACATTTGTGTCCCCCAAAATTCATATGTTGAAATTCTAACCTCCAAAGTGATGGCATTAGGAGGTGTGACCTTTGGGAGGTGCTTAGGTCATGAGGGTGGAGCCCTCACAAATGGGATTAGTGCCTTATAAAAGAGGCTTCAGAGAGATCCTTGCCCCTTCCACCATGGGAGGACACGGTGAGAAGGCTACGAAGTCTATAAACCAGGAAGAAGGTTCTCACCAGACCGCAAATCGGCTGGTGTCATGATCTTGGACTTCCCAGCCTCCAGAACTGTGAGAAATAAATGGTGTTTATAAGCCACCCAGTTTATGTTATTTATGTTATAGCATCCTGAACCAACTGAAACACTTCAATAAACCCAGCACATAGCAGGTGTTCAAGAAATCCGAGTTTCCTTCTCATCCCCTCCCTTGTTAAAATGCACTTGGCTATCCTGTTAATACAGTCATGCTACTTGCATAAGTAAACACTGTTTGAGTGTAGTATTTGGTGGTTTTCCTTAGACCCAATATTTTACTTACCAAAAGTAGACACTTTTTATCCATTCTGTCTATGGACTTAAATAGTACATTAAAAAAACAAATAAGGAATAGTCATTTATCCTATACTTTATTGTAATGAAATTTTGTTTTAAATCAGTGAGTGAAATTATAGGCATATAAATGCTTTACACACAATAAAAATAAGTTAGACTTGCTACCAATAATTTCATCCTGAAAACCAAACATTTCACTTAGTCCTCATTGTGTGGCATGCTCATTTAGTGAAGCTGCTTGGAAGTTATTTTTAAACGCAGCCACTTCAGTCATCATGTCTCACATACTGTCTAGAAGATGCAATGTTTCATTATCAAATGGAAACATTATGTACTGTGCCATATGAGTCATTAAAGAAACAGCAAGATATGTTTTCACTCCCAAACAATAAAGCTTGTTACTATTATTGATGATGTCCTTATAGAACCTCTTAACTGAGAAGCTCAAATGACATTCTAATTGAACTACATAAAATTCCAATAATGCAGATATTCTAAAAGATTTTAGTATCCACAGTCCATGCTTTCATTTATTTAACAAGCATTTATTGAGCATTTACTATGTGCTAGATACAGAGCTCAGCCCTGAAGACTCAGAAATGAATAAGGCCAAGACAAAGCCTTATGTGAATCAGTTGGTATGGAGACAAATTTAATTAGAAACTATTTTAAAGTCTGGTTTACTTTAACCTGCAGAGTAATCTCTGTACACTGAAGAACCTACTATTTAGCATAATTAAAAACAGAACCTCTTGGGATGCAGATTTCAAAATAAAAAAGCAAAGATGATTTCTGAAAACCATGTCATTTGGAAGAAACTGAGAGATCATTAAAAAATCTTCCTATATTCTGTTTAAGGGTATTTTTGGTTTAAGGTATGAGTGAGAGAAACTTGGAGCACATCTCAAATTGGATTTTTTTTTTTTTTTGGTTATCTTAAAAGCTTTGAAGAAAACTGTGCTTTAGAAAACAAAGACCAGAATGAGGTTTATATTTGGACCAGTGATTCACACTATATATGTTTGTCATTTTTCCATCAATTTCAGATAAGAAAAAAGGGAATATTGATATAGTCAAATACCTAAAAAGACTATTACTAAGACAATTAATCTATTTTTTCTGATAAGTGTGAAAGTACTTAGGTTCTTATTGTTAGAGAGAGAATTTCTTTAAAATTTTTGATTCCATGTAGCTCTGAAACCCCAAAGTACTAGAAATATATATACATATAAATGTGTGTGTGCAGGTGTATTTCCCAAAGACTTTCAGATTTTATCATTAAAACACAATTCATACCACTATCAAAGATTGCTCTATGAATCTGTAAGCCCAAATTAAGGAAATGTTGAAACAATAATCAATAAAATCAATACATATTTTTTAATAAATTTTCTATTGTTTTCCAATTTTATACTTTAAAATGTTCCTGTGACATGTGCACAACACTTCAAAATGTTAATTAATTTATTTTAAAGTAATATATCTTATTCATAGATACTGTATTAGAGTTCTAATTTGTAATGAAAAGATGATAAATGAATAGAAAATTACATTCTATAACGTGTCCTCAATGTTAACCACACCTTTGGGAAACCCAACAACATGGATCTTGAGAACAAAGCTGAGGCATTATTGTCTATGCAATGGACATTTACCCAAAGTTCAGACTTAGTACCAGGGAGAAAATGAACCTTCTTGTAGCCATCTCAATCAACAGAAATATTTTATATAGTCACTTACCATTTAATGAAGGTCTACTATGTACAGGCATTGCCCTGGGTGCTGGAGATACAACAATAACTAACACACACTCTCCTCCAGCAGTTCACTGTTTGTCAGTGAAGACACTCAAAGCACAATATGACAGAGACCAATGGAATTTTTTGTGAGACTGTACCAACACTTCCCTATCCAGACAGGGAGCATGGGGACATTCTCTTCCTGGAATGCCCATTCCTTCCTTTTCTGAACTAGCTAATGCCAATCATGCTTCAGATATCAGTTTAAACAATACTTTTCCAGAGACACTTTCTCTGAGACCCTGCAGTCAAGGGTAGGTCCATCTGTTTTACATTTCCATAGCACCCTGTACTTTCTTTCTTTCTTCTTCTTTTTTTAAATTCACAGCACCTTATGATTATTTGTTTGACGCCTGTCTTTCTGCTAGCACATCTGCTCCACAAAGATAGAGCTTATGTGTCTTCTGTTCACAGCTGTCCCCCACAACTAGAACAGAGATTTCCATATCATATGTCCTTGGAAGAGAGCATCAGAGGAAAGCTGAGCAATTGTACACTTTCTGAATCATGTGAACTCACCCATTTTTATCAGACTCCAGGACTTTACCCTCAGCCTGCTGTCTGATCTCTGTCTGTTAGCCTTTCGCTACCTAAAAACCGATCCTAGACTGCTTGCCTGTAGGAGCCATCCAAACGGTTCTCTTCACTTCTAAGAAGCACTCAGAATCTAAACTATTCTTCCCAGTTTGGACCCAAGCTACACCCAAGTCTCTCTTTAGAACGGTTGACTTCCCTGTTGTTACCCCATGTTTGCATCACATGATCCCCTAGAGGCCTAGGTTGAGCTCCAGTTGAATATTTCTAGTCAAAATTGATGGGTTTGTCAAGTTACGGTGCAGACAACAAGCCTGGCAAGCACAGATCCACAAAGAAACATTGCACATCGAAGGCTCTGTGTATGAAATTTGGTATCTTTTAATATTTAGGTTTAAATATTAATGAAATTTGTATTTGTACAAATTAGATGAGAAAACAAGGTGAGAAAAGTGCTTCTTAGATTCTCTCGAGACAAATCAAGCAAGAATGTGTGCTTCCTTCCAAACAGAACATGTTTTGAAATTCCCCCTTCATACATATTTAAATTTGAAGTCTAGCAGCAGTTATTTCTTTACAAGGATGACCAGATTTATACAAAAGAAAGAAACAAAATACATTGGCAATCCAACCAATTTCTCGGTCCACTGGAAAATTACCAAAACATCACAATTTCACCAAAATGGCACAACCAGGACAATGAATTTAGGAAGTGCACACATAAGCTCTATAATGATATATTTGCATAAAGGGATATATATTAAAACATGATTTGTAATATAAATTCCTTTTATTTACTCTCATTTATTTTTGAAAGTATCTAGAGGGTATACATTTCAAGTTATTTATTATAACCCCTGCCCTTAAAGAGTTAAATGAGATTTTGCCTGAGGAAAAATTTTACTGCTAACTCCTTATTTACAGTTAGATTTAGGTCAATATTGCTCAAAGAGCAAAGCTAATTAATGGGGAAGTTAGATTAGTTCTTAAGATACTTCCTATTCTAGTCCTTACTTGAAAGTAAAGATACAATTTAATATCCAAAATAAGTGAATTAGCTTGAATCCTACAGCTTCTTAAAATAAGTTATCTTGTCACCTTTCTTTGAAATCATGAAATACTAAAAATTCAAAAGGAAAGGTTAAAGGAGTTGTGATACATTTGTTTTCAAATATCAAATGAGGACACAATTATTCTCACCTCAACTCCGTAAGAAAACAAAGAGCATGCATGCTTACCATGAGACAGTGAAAAAGAAAAGACATCTTCCCAAGAGTGACTAAAATACTAGAAAAGATTATCAAAGAAGACCCAGAAATCACTTTTGTTATTTTTTAACATCATCATATTCTTTCTTCAGAATACAAATGTTGTATAGCTATATAAAATGCAAACATTATGGAACTAATATAAAAAGTGAATATCACTCCCAAAGGTAACTCTCTGAAAAGTTAGGTGCTCTTCTCTAATTTATTATTATTTTTAAATGAGATTATATTACATAATTGCTCTGCAACTTGATTTTTATACTTATCAATTATCTTAATCATCTTTTCATATCATCAATATTATTTTCTCTCTCTTTTATTCTATTCTTTCCTTTTTTAATGGCTGCATA